TCTTCTGTAAGACTGAAATGGGACAGCATGCAGGAAGACTATCACCATGAATGATGGGAACCTAAAAGACTAACGGCAGGAAGATTTGTAATATCTCCAAAGTATTCCCTCTTAGGCAATATAAAATCCGAACTGGAAGTTAAAAGTTTAAAGTTTATCCATCAACAGAGCAAGGGGCATTTTTTTAGACGAAACTCCACTAGTAGCATTCCTCTCACACATAATTCTGCAGGAATACTGGGAACTGAAAAATCCAAGGTGGTAAATATGGTCCTGTAATCTTGAAACTGAGAGAGAGCTTTTCTCCCAGGCTTGGAGTGTCAGGTTAAAAGAATTTCTTTTCCCAAAAGCAAACACAGAGTTTCCAAAGAGATGCAAACAGTTTTATTAGTCCTCCACTTGGGGATAATATACCCATTGACAACCCAATGTGCAAAGACATTGTACAGACCAAGACCACATAGAATCAAAAGCAGAGGACGGGTTTTGATTTTACCTCTGCTTTCCAGTGTAACTCCACTGATGCCATGGACTTATTTGTTACTAAACAAGTGTGAAATTCCATTCTTAGTTCTGACTTTTACCTAGCGAAATACATTCCACTCTAAGAGGAAAGTAGGGGCATAGAGGAAGGAATGCACTTCTGAGGGTAAACATTTGCCTCCTAACTAAGAGTTTCTGCTATTAATTATTTCACCTACTTGGAAAGCAGAGATGCTTCAGGTGGAATGTACATATCTACTTGTGCAACACATTTCTTCTTATTTTGTTCCTTCAGATGTTTTTCAAAAGCTTTAGGTTACACTTTGGAGTTTCCAGACGTTTCTGCAGATGCTAAAGAGCTATTCACCAACTTTACAAGAAATCCTCTGCAGTCCCTTTGTAGGAGAACAGTGTGCTACTTCATTCAAACTTAATGAGTTGAATAACTTGGCATCTAATTGGACTTTAGATCACTGCTTGTCTTGTTAATGCAGTGTTAAAACTGAAGGTGACCAGATGTAATCGCAGTAAAGACTATTTTAGTACTCAGTATGCTACATGAGATCATATTTTAATTCCTATTAAATAGACTTCACTTGGTGTTACAAAATCCCAAGTATTTCTTTGTGCAGGCACCTGTTGAGCACCCTGCATGCTAATTTGTCATACAACATTAAGTAATAATGAATTTAAAGTGTACTTAAAGTACTTAAAGTGCCAGAATACCCCTGGAAAAATGCTTCTAGAAGATAAAATTACAAGCTTTTTATTTTCTCTGCATTTCCAATCTATTAAACTGTGGTACGAGTTGGGATTCCTTCCATCTTACCATTCTGGGAATGACATAGGGATAGCTATATGGGCTATAGTTATTACGGGCAGCTTTATATCACATTAACATGCTTTGGGGCTACATGAGGATCTCAGAAAGATATTCCAAAAAGTAAAATAAGAAAAGCAATGAGGATGACGGAACAAACCATGACCTTGAATGCACTGAGTGCAGTGCAGAGCAGTGAGAAGTGAATTCAAAAGCAGGGCCAATTTTTATGGAGGGAAAATAAATCATAGAATCATAGAATATCCTGAGTTGGAAGGGACCCTTAAGGATCATCAAGTCCAACTCTTGACACCGCTCAGGTCTACCCAAGTTCAGACCATGTGGAACTGTTTAAGGTCTCTATTCTGCAGTACTTAAGCGTGTGTCTGTTTTGAAGCGAGTGACTTCCTTTTATCCAGAAGTCAAATACAAAACTAAATGGAGTTGGGTCTTGTGTCAAGTGTAGGTCTTGCTTAACAATTTGGGCTATATCCTAAGGCCTAACAAACTTTCTTTTTGTTTGCCAGTTCCCAGAGCACCCAGTGCCATTTTTTGAACACTTGCAAAACTATGTGGCCTAGTGTTGTGCAGTCCGTGCAATGCAATTTAAGAGGAAATGTAAGGAAAAGAGACATGACTTGAACTATGTCGGAAAGACTGATCCAGATTTGATTGACGCCTTATCTTTTAAAGCTTTATAATCTGTTGGATAGAATATTGTAGGTGCTCATGTGGCTTGAGAGTTAGATTTTGTACCATACCATTTCACAGCTACAGTCTGGTGATTTATTCAAAGGAGGAAGCTATCAAATATTAACCATTTCAAGGAAAAAAAAAAAAAGTTTCTATGGGTAAGGTAAGCATTTGTAACAGCAAGGCTGACTAGTGAACACCTAACTAAATGCTCTGTCCTTAATCTTGGTTAAGTAGTTCACCATATTGGTGTCACAGAAAAAAAAATCTGAAATACTTCCACACACTGCCAGTGATTTCGGTGCTTTATGAACTGTACCACAGGTAATATGTACAATCTGAAATGTTTGCGAAGCCTTAAGATTTAGGCTACCTAGATCTAGTGGTACTAAAAGTGAAATGTGGTTGAGGCGGGACCATTCCTTTTGCTTTCAGACAGTAAGAATTCAGTCAGATACAGTCTGCTTGAAATAAAATAAAAAATAAAATAAAAAAAGTACTGGGGCATAGTAGACAGGGTTGCAGTTTTTCAGCAGTGTTTCTTCATTCCTCTAATATTCCATACATATTTTAAGGTGCTTGTCACTTCCAGCATCACAGAAAGTTATTATGCAGATACTTGATCTGCCCCAAAAGGAATTCAGCATTTCAAGAAAGCCATTAAATTATGCACTATCTTAGTCTATGACCATCTATTCTTATCTGTATTACAGTTGCTGCCTATCTTCTATTTCTGCTCCCATTTCACTGCTTTCTTCCCCCCACTGTTATTTCTTAGTTAAAATTCAATAGCAAGACCTTTGGGAGAAGTATCAGGTCCTCTTCTCCATTGATACAATTCTGTGGTCTATGAGAAGGGAAATGAAAATAAGTTTGAATAAGAAAAGTACTGATGGTTTTGTACGTGACATATATTCCTGTTAAATAGTTCACTGTATGATTGGAGATGGAAAAAGTATTTTCTCTCTAAACCTATTTGGAAGCATGTAGAAGGACGTTTGATCTTAAGATTTTCAAGTTCATCCAGCAGGTTTTCAGCTGGAAGACCCTTGCCTCCTAAAACATCCAATAGACTCAAAAAAGAGACTGCTTAATTCGCTTCCATAAATCATTTTTGCTCAGTCTAATTTGAATGTAAGCTTTCCCCTTCTCCCCAGACTTATGTACGTGGTTGGGAGGCCTCCTAGTAATGCTCCCAACTCAGAAACTCCACTTAGGGCAAGAAACAATTTTTGTGAAAACTTCAGTTGATCCTGTTATTTTAGTAATCAGCAATCAGCTATCCAGATTTCTGAAAACTTTTCGTCCAGCTCCACTGGTGACAGTATTACTGTGTTCTAGAACAAGGGGGCCCAGAAGCCCTGAGGACAGGCAAACTTTGTGGGCAGCAGTTACCCTCCATGGACATGGCCTAGGATGCTGCTTGCAGACAGCTGCCTGCTTGGAAAAAAAAGTGATAACCCGGTTCTAGGAGGGACTGAAAGCTTGAAGTGGTGCTTGTATTTGGGTATGGTATATTTCACAGGATCAGACCCATGAGCAGAAAATTGTCTTCAGAGCTCTTTTGTTTTGAAATTGAGCTTTATTTCTGTAATCTTTAAGATTCTGCCAGGAATTATACTATGTATTCTCTTTAGATTCAGAAATCTGATTTCTATTAGTGAATATATGAACTTCAGTTTTATTAAACAGAATATATTGGTGGGAAGGGGAATGTAGTTTATAGAGTAAACATATGCCTGTGGGACTTTGGAGAAGTGAATTGTTAAAATGGCTCCAACACGTAAAGATTGCATAAAAATCCCACAAAAGCGTGAGATGAAGTTAATGCTGACAGTGTGTAACCTAATAGTACCTTTATTGTAGACATCTGCAGCCAAAGGATCCTCTTGGGATCACCGTTTGCTTACCCAGGGAATTTGTTGACAAGTTAGATGTCAGCATCCATGAGTTTTATGGACTGGAACAGAAGGGTGTTTCCTGCTCTATGTTTTATGGACCAACTCTTTGGGTCATGATGTAGCAGTCAGTTGTACTGTAGGACTGGGGAGGGAGACAATTTTTCAGGTCGTAGCTGGAGACTGGTTTGGTCAGCGTGCACTGAGAAAGACTACACCAGTCCAGGAGACTCCTGACATAGCAGAAAGTGTTAAGTGTCAGCTTAAAATCATCCGTGCTAGTCTCAGACTTTAGTAAATATTCGTAAACTGTCTTTAAATTACAGAGAAATTCCAATAGTATTGCATTCTATATCAAATATCAAATGAAGCAGCATCATTAATGACACACTAATGAATACCACATGAATTAATAATAATCAGCTACTTTTTGATGTCTCTCTGGCTTCCATCTGTCTCTTAAATCACTTGAAATAATTAATTGCTTAATGCCTTTCACCTCTGACAGACAGAAATAAATTGCAGATTAAAAATACTTGTGCTGGCAGTGGGCAGAGCCAACTAAGGTGGAAGTACAGCTTTTGCTGCTGATCCAGAGGGACGAGGCAGTTTTGCCCCGCTGAGCCTACCTTGCCCAGGTAGCAGTATACAAATAGAGGAGGCGATGCTATACTGCTCTCTTCAGTCAGATACTTTCCAGGGCCTACAGGGTTTTTGTGGAGTTTGTTCTCCTCCACAGAGCTGGATCAATAGCTCTGAAGTCTCCAGCCCTCTCTTTGTAGCGCTGCTACAGTAACTTTCTCCTTTAACTTGTGTGTGCTGGTAGGCCACAAGGTAGTGAAACAAAGCCTCAGACACTTCTGCCGAGATGAGTCAGGAGTGTTAGAGGTCTTGGATAGAGTCACCTCTCTGTTGAGAACTGCCCTGACATCTCTCTGGGTGATAAGCAACAAACTGATTGCAAGAAATCCAGGTTTGTGGACATGGGATAAACGTGAATGACAGCGTGATGCAAATGCAAATGCTGTAATACAGCATTTTTTATTTTGAAAACTGCCTGGCCATGAAGATTTTAGTATTTTAATTTTAATTATCTTTATTTATAGATACTAAGGAACTCAGTTGCTTGGAGACCTGCATCTTGTTATCTGTGCTGAAAGCCAGGTAAGGCCAATTATTCAAATAAACTTGTAGTGACCAGAGAATGTAGGAGAAGCACATTAATTTTTAATCAGCGTGAGAATGGGGAAGTCAACTGTGATTTTTTTCTTCTCAGAAGCTTTGAAAGTTTCAGATTTTACAATATTTTCATTTCAAAAAGTATGGGGAGGTACATGTATTTAGGATAGGCTGTGGCAGGAGTCCTCCCACCACTGCGTTCTGCTTCATTGTACAAGTGGCAAACCCATTACAGCACTGGATGCAAGAGTATCACTTTCATAAATGGTATGACTGACAATACCTATATATATTATAGCATCTAGGCTATGTCTGAGTTTCTTTTTTTTTTTTTTTTTTAATTTAGATTTTTTTTTTCATCTTTTTAAATTGCTTCTTGATAAAGTGTGTGAGAGGGAAGGCATGGGTGCTCTGTGATTCACAGTGAAGGAAAGCCTGATCTGTCTCTCAGCTTATGACAAATGCAGCTCATAGGATTCAGCTGTTAACACAGAATTTAATTCTAGTTCCACATTTTGCCTTCCTCAAACTTTTAAGCATGGTACAGAATCGCCACCTCTTGCTTTACACTAAATGTTTTTAAATGCACATTTTCAAGCTCTGGAGTTACTAGAGGAGTTGCTCGCAGAAAAATAACATTACCCTGCATGCACAGAGAAAATGGAAGGCAAAAAGAATTTGTTTTGCTGGAGTGATAGCTACTAGACTTTCACATATGTAAAGCTCTCAGAAAGCTAGTACAGTAAAAAATAGGAACAATTAAATGGTTCTTTTGCACATTTCTATTCCAATAATCACTATGAATTCCTTGCAGAAAATTCCCCAGGCAAAACAGTTTCTCGCAGGTACAATGATGGTAGATTGAAGGAGCTGCAGGGGCTAGTTGCCCACCTGGAGGGTTTGTGATCCCTCTAAGCTCAGGCTGGTGGCAGCAACAGAGCCAGGCTGAGCCTGCTTGAAGGATTTCTGCCCTCCAAGCTGTGCTCATCCAGCACGGGGGCTGTGGCAACAGTGGCTCCAGCTGGCTTTGGGTGGCCTTTGCTGTTCCCCATCTCCATGGAAAGGGTTACAGGATGGCACACGCTGCTTCTGTCTAAAGGTGTATAAGCACAGCATTTAGGAAGAGATTAAAAGGAAGTTGAGTATTAGTGGCAGGATAACTGCAAGTAGAAAAGGTACCTTTGCTCCTCTACCACTGCCTCGCAGGTTCCCTGTCACCCAGGTGGCACTGACAGTGGTTGGGAACCTGTCACTACAGGGCTATCCAGCCCCATTCCTGCATCTCTGAGGTCAGGTCTTGCTACAGGGACTGTGTGCAGGAAGCAGATGTCGATGGTAAATCTTGCAGAGGAAATAGCATGAAATGAGGAAAGACTAGAAGGGAAAAGTAGATGTGGTCTAGGAAAAAGTATGAAGCAGAAACGGGCAAGAAAAGCAAACAAACAAAACAAAAGAATAATTGGCAAGCAAAGTAGAAGCAAAGCAATAACAACATAGGGCATAGGCTCAGAAGTGTTTTGCAGGGGTATTACAAAACAAAAACTCCACTGGGGAAAGGAGGGCAAGTACTGGGTTAAGACAAGGCAAGATTTCACTGTGCCTGAAAGCATCTTGTTGAGATGAATTTTCTTTATGCATCCATACCCTTTACCTAAGTGCAGTGAGAATGGTTTGAGGCTTGTTGGGTATGAAACGTATTTATGATTTTCTACTCTCATATAAATGTGTACTTTGTTCAAAAATTGTTTTCCTTATTTACTCAGGGGCATGTACATACTGCTGAAGTTAAATGTCACTCCTATCTACTAGAAATATTTTGTTCTGGGTAATAGCCCAATGCCTTTAAAATTCAGAATATTATGCTTTAGTTAAAAATAATGGGCAATATAGCTGTGTTTCACAATGAATAAGTGTATTAATTATGAGACAAATCACACTGGATACTGGTTGCTGCTCAATTCCCTTTGAATTTTAATGAATAATAACTTGCTTGAAAATAAAGGACACTTTTAATGCATCCAGCAATGATTAAGTAGGCTAATTACAGGTAATAAATATATTTTTATTGAAATCTGAATGACTACACTTCCATTGTCTTCCAGAAGTATGCTATTCTCATTTGAATTATATACTTTAATATGTCAACTAATTATATATTTGTTCCAGCCTTAATTTTTAAAAAAATAATAATAATGAAAAAAAAAATCAGAATTTCATCAAACCCAATTTTCCTGAAGTCACTGGGGTAAAGCTTGGCATGACCTAAATGGAAGCTACGTTCATTCTGCATTCTGAGGCCTAGGAGCTCTCTGTTTATCTTAAGACTTGTTTTGCAAAACAGAGAAGGCAGCACTAGAAACTAAGTGCTAGTTAAAAAGGCAGAGAGAAATCAGGGAAAAGAAAAGCAGTGCTAACCCAGGGCAGCGTTAACCCATGCAGAGTTCATCTTCTCATGGCATGCTGGCTCACAAGCATCCTCCCAGGTGAGCTGGAAGGCTTTAGGCTGCTGTTGGCCCCAGCGTTAAAAGCCAGACCTTCTTCAGAGCAATCCCTTTTCTCATCAGTAAAGAGAAACCGCAGGTCCTGTGGAGTTCTTTGTTCTCCTGATTCAATAAGAGTTGCATAAATATCTTTAACCTTCTGATTATGGAGTTGCAAAGCAGTCCCCGTGCCCCACTATCATGTAAAAGAATATTGGAAATGCTGGACTCCTTTGTGTGACTCATAAACCTTACACTCATTTAAATGGTGAGTGATAACCCCCACACACACACTCACGTTAAAATATGAGTGTAAAGGTGTCTGAGATTCCCTGAAGCAAAGAAATGGGAGCCCCTAAGATACTGAAATAAATTTTGCTGCCCCATCCCTGCCTTGTCTAACCTCTGGTGAGATCTGGCTTGTTGGAATTTGGGTATCACCTGCAGGCAGAGAGGCTGTACCATGATGCTCTGGACCCATGATCATGGGGAAAACATAAAATAAAATCAGACTGTCATCTTAAGTTTTAATTTTGCTTGGTGTAAGTCTCTGCAACATTCACTTAAACTTAGCTGTTTATGCACATATGCCTGCTAGTGAATTCATTTGCTGTAATATTAATGGAAAGGGAGCACAAAGGGTACAATCGGTCTAAGTTAATTTTAAAATTCAAATAAATGATTGTGCATAGGTTGTTTTTCTTCAGTACTCACCATTTCTAATTAGGATGCAATATGACATGTCGTTTTCACATTTCATATGCTGCATATTTCAAGTAGCAAATCTAGACTCTCGAGATGATGGCTGGCAACTCGAGAGAAAGAAAAACATAAACAACTAGGAGAAAGAAATCGAATATAATAAAAATAATGTTGAAAATATTCCAAGGCTAAGTCAATTCAGAAATATGTTCAAAATATGGAGTGTGAACATTGGTTTTCTGTAATACAGATGGAATCGATGCAAAGCAGAATATTGACTACAGATTAAGCTCGCCTTATCAATAAAGAACTTTTGCAATCTCCATCTTCTGGGGTATCCATCATGTGGTTCCTGTCAATCCTAAAAAAATCTTTCCATCATTAGCAAGGTTCCACTTTTCACTTCAGCAGTCTGAAAACAAAGTTTCTCATCAACCAAGTTCCTAAAGAAACTTAGTTTTTTTCCTTTTCTTCAGCTATTACAATATCAACTGATTAATATCAGTTTCTTCAGCACTACTGAAGGAAAAATCTATTTATTAAATGATAGCATTATACTGAAGGCATAATGCAGGTAAAATTAAAAGGACACAGTGGACTGTGAAAGAAAATTTAAAATTATGTAACAAAACATAAATACCGTAAAAAGAGTGAAAGAAGGTGTCTTCTATCAAGAATATGCAGTACATATTCCAAAACACATATCTATAAACGGAATAAAAATAGCAAAGCTAATATGGTATTCAGCTTATTCTGCTCCTACAATTAACTGGTTGATCTAGCACACATTTAAAAAAATAATATTTCCATTTGGCAGCTAACAGATGCTAGTGGAAGGAACATAGCCAAACAGTGAGTTTGTGGTTATTTCAAATCAGCAATGAACTATTTTAGTTGTAGATGGGTCATAAGAGCTAGAACAAAGCAACAAACCATGCGTTTTCCAAACCGGCAGCAATGGCTGTTCTAGCACGAAATGGCAGAGCTCTTCTAGTCAGAGCTAAGTGGGACTTAGCAGCCCTTCTTTCACAGGTATGGTTAATTTTGTCAGAAGTTGCCTTACAGATGAATCAGGAAGGAGTAGTGCTGACAATGACCTGAAGGCTAGATTCAGATCAGAAGCACATTTGACATATAATAAAAAGCCACAAATGGAAAAACTGAACAAATAAACTGCAACATCCTTTTCCCTTGTACATAAAACGATAGATCAACCTGCTTTCAATAGTTCAAGTTCAAACTCTGTACCCCAAGCAGGCATGAGAAATCACATCATTTAAATACTTGTGGTCTCAATTTATACCTTTAGAAATGCTCTCTTTAATCCTGTAATCTCAAGTATAGGAATTGTTTGTTTGATTTGTTTACTACGTATTCTAAGATAGTTATTGTTAATGCTTAAGAAGACATCAAATGCTTCATTAACATCAAGGCTAATTGCTCATTTCATTAGCTTGTTCTCAACGTTGCACAAGTTGTACTCAATACAATGGTAATACTGCCTTTTTCAAGGATGTGTAATTGACAGTTTAATAAATTGACAGAATTATGCTTTTCACTGAAGAGAAGGAAAATTAGAAAATGATGGAAAAATATTAAGAATGGAGAAGTTAATAACAAACTTCAATGTTTTGTGCAATACCCAAATAACAGAGATTTAACTTTGTCATTAGAAGGATTAGTTCTTGAAAACTGTCCTGGAAGATAAAATCCTTGAAAAAAGCATACATGCATTACTAAGTTGGTACAGATCGGGCGATCATGAGAGACATCTCTCCCACACACTCCATTCAGGGTGACTTT